CTCCTGCTTCCAGTTAACCTAATGTCTCTACAGTGATGCCCAAACTAAAAGTGTGGTGGATGATGATTCTCCACACCCAGGATTTGGTGATTGGGTCCCTTAAAAACCCCAGTCGTCCTTTAAAAGGGGGAGTATATAAGGTATTTCTCCCGCCTTCTTAGCATTCCTTCATTGTGTAGTGGTCTGCACGCTGGGCCTGTATTCCAGAGGTCCATGGTTTGATTCCCAGTGAGGGCAATTCTCATTTTTATCTTTCCTGCTTCCAATTAACCTAATGTCTCAGTGCTAATAATATAACAAACTCTATAATGGTTATAATAAAACTCTCATTTATGTAATATTTTCGGGGACTTTTTTTTTTTTTTTTTTTTTTTTTTTTTTTTTAACTAAAATTATAAAATTTTCTGATTACTTAAGCTTTTGGGTTAGGTGAATGCCAGATAGTCAGGGTTTCACTGTTATATTTTGTGCATTTTGGCCTGTATAGACCTTTAAAAAAGCATGTGCAAAATTTTCATTCATAAAATTTAAATTAGTAAACGCTGTTGATGTATTGATCTGCCTGATCATTTACTTTCTTTATCAAGAAGTCTGGAAAGTTGTCAAAAAGTTTTAAGTTAAACCTTAATCCTAATTACTGCAATATCTTGAAATTTTATGTTGTAGGACTATATACTTATGCATTGTCCTACTGAAAATGTTTTTATTTTCGCTCACAGTGAAGCAGTCTAAAACTGTTCATAACCAGATTTTTCAAATTTTTTCCCTATTTCTTCGAAAATACAGAAAATGTAAAAACTTGGAATAACTATAAAATTTTATCTTAATAAATTGTGTGAGTGTATTTTCTAGGATGGACACTTTATTAAAAGAAAAAAGAGAGAGGGAGAAGGGGGAGGATAGTTCTAGATCTCTGGTTCTAAAATTGCATTGCTCATGTTTTGAAGCGATGAAATAGAATGCATATTACATATACATCCAGCATTACTCTAAGGTGTTGTTTTATACAAAATTTAACTTAAGTGGCATGACATGGAATATTTTCTATAGATCAATTCTTCACCTCAAATTTTTCCTAGCTATCAAATTTTTAAAAATCATATGAGCAGTTTTGCTGTTATTTATGTTTAAATCTTGGTGCTAATTTTCATCATTGGGCCAAAAATTATTTAAGTTAGAAACTTTGCTTCTTTGCTAATTATTCACAGTATTTTTGTTATTATTAAGAACGTTTTCAATTAATTTTTGGTTTCCTCTTCTCATTTTGGGGAGTATGATTTGTGTATTTTTAAGGTAACAGCAAACACCGAATAATTGTATAAGAAATAAAAAATGAATGCCTATGGATTTGAAGTCTGCACTTCAATTATTCATACAAAAGTCATCCATATGCACTTTTTTTCCCCACCCTAAATTTTGCAGCATTACATTGGATAAGTGTAATCACTTCATCTCTAATAAGTTTAGAAGGTAATCTAGGGTCAGTCACAAGGTTCAACATAAGAGACAAAATTTACTTTAAAAATGTTAAATGATCTCTCTCTTCAGGAATACCATATGAAGTATGTATTGATAATAATGCCAGTTAAATATTGAATATAACAGTTTATAGTTCTATTAAAGGTGTGAAATAATTTGGAAGTATGAAAGAACTGTTTCTAAGCAGATGGAATTATATATAAAGTATTTTTCAATTCAAAATGATTCTTAAATGAATATTGGTTTATTCAATTTTAAAACTTGTCATCATTTAACTTTGGTTACTCCATGCTAATGAATTAGTTAGACTTCTTTTTTGATTTAACATTAGAACTGCCACAACAGTCATTTACTGTATTATTTTTAAAATGTGAAAATTCTTTTTAATGGTTCTTACATTATGGAAAAATGCAACAGTCAATAATAAAATTCTTTAATCGATATCCAAATGTATCCAAATTTGAATTGATGAAAACTTATAATGAAATTTGAATAATCATTTTAAAACATAATTAATTGTTTTAAACATTTTGTTAAATGTTATATACTAAGATATAAATGGAAAACATGCAGTATTATTTAGAAATGGGTGTAACATAGTTTTAAAAAGAAAAGAAAAAAAAAGAAGCTGCTGCTCTGTTGCAAATGCCTTTCACAGAATTTATACTATTAATTGCAAAGTAACAAATTTGTACATTATCATTATGCAGTTTTCCATGCATAATGAAATGCATTTTTAAAACATTACCAACTGACTGTTCCAATAATTGACCACATTACAGAAACTGAAAAATGTAATGGTTTAAAGATCAAACACTGTAAAATATTATAGTACCTTTCATTTCATGCTCCCATTTTTATTTATATTAAATATTTCAACATTAGAAATAGAAAATATAATTATTGCATAATGATGAATTCTAAATGCAAAATAGGCCAATTTTGCAGTATTCATTTTATGCCAAAGTATCAAATAACATGGTGTGCATATCATCTACATACAGATTTATTACACATATCGAGTGCTTTATTTATGCATTTTTGCACATAGCACTAACATAATTGTAAGCCGTCCAATCGGGATAATCGTTAATAATGCTGACTGTCATACTGAAGGGCCCGGGTTCAAGTCCCAGAAGAAGGCATGGATGTTGGTAAATGTACAGTGTCTGTGTAGCATAGGGGCACACTCAAAATATGCGGCGGGCTGAAAATCCTCTCAAGAGGTTGTTGGGAGAAGAAAAGGGGTGGGAGACCCTCAGACTCGCCTTCCTCCCCAAGGTGCTCGGTGCTCTCCATCAAAATTGGGGACAGAACTGAGCAAAGTTATACTATCACCTGTATGCTGCTCAAGGCTGTAGCCAACAATAGATGGAATCTTGCACTCCTTGCCATGATGAATTTTGTGGGCTTGTTCTAATGATACTGTCAGACAAGTGAGACAAGTCACAACAACAACATTGCGAGGTACCAGAGCAGATAATAAAACCTTAACAAATTAAGTTAACAAATTAAATTAAAATTTAATACTGTTTCTAAATATTCAGTTCAAAATAAAAGCTATTTAAGTTTTGAGAAAAAATTTCAGCTTTGCTAGGAACAAGCCTAAATTGCAGATTATTCATAGCAAAATGCAAGAAAATTTACTTAGAGATATCAAATATAAACCAAATTCCATTAATATTAGGGAAAACAATAATTTTAAATAATATTAAAAAAATATGCATTTTTTTACAAAACTTGGTAAATAGGCATAACCTGGCAATAAGTTGGATTATGCGAAAAACTGGCATATCATTTCAGAAGTCCAATTTTGCATCTAAAAATATATAGTGTTGTGTATAAATCTAATATATATGTATGTGTATACAGGAGTGTACCTAGAAGAAACTGAGCTAATATTTTAGTGGGCAGAGCTTTTGCAGTACCGTATTTTGCTGCTAGTAGCACATAGAGTGAATATTCCTGGTTCAGTAAGCCGAGTGCTATAGCTGAAAACTAGTTTTGGTGGTGGAGTTTATAGTGACGACTGTTTTGTGTGATTGTCGTTTTCACAATGGCTGATTTTCGTGAACAGCCTGTAGCAGTGAAATTCTGCTTTTTGCTCAGATAAAGTGGATTAAAAACATTGTAAAAGGATGATGTTATGGAGAAAACTCTAGTGTTTGAATGGTTTTCCCATTTCAAAAATGGTAAAATGTCAGCTGATGACTAACATCATTCTGGTTGTCCTTCCATAGCCCGAACAGATGAAAATGTAAAAATTTGTGCAGTCATCAACAAAGATTGATGACAGACCATTGAAAAAATTGTGAAATTGTCAGGAGTGACTTGGAGTTCATTGCAGCAAATTTTAACAGAAGATTTGGGAATGAAAAGGGTGGCTGCCAAATTTGTGCCATGACTGCTGAGCAAAAGCAGGATCACGTGGAAGCATGCTGTACTTTGAAAGAAGAGTCCCGAAATGATCCCAACTTTTCTTCAAAAATTATCACAGGCGACGAAACTGAGTGCTATGCTTACGACCCTGAATCGAAGCAGCAGTCGGGCTAGTGGAAGAGACTTCAAGTTTGCCTCTCTCTAAAAAAGCTCGTCAGATGAAATCAAACATTAAAACAATGCTGATTTGTTGGTATTTTTTATGTTAGAGGAAGTCATCCATTCAGAGTTTGTTCCACAGGATTGGACAGTTCACCAGGCTTTCTATTTGGAAGTTTTGAAAAGACTGCATGACAGTGTGTGGCAGAAGTGGCTTGATTTGTGGCAGTTGAATGACTGGTTTGCTCGTTATTACAATGCCCATGCTTCCTCAGCCGTCTGTACGAGAGTTCTTGACTAAAAATGGTATGACAAGGCCTGTTCCACAGATCCTATACTCACTCAACCTTGCCCCATGCAACTTTTTTTTTGTTTCTTATAATGAAAAGACACGAAAGGAAAATGTTTTGCTGATGTTGCTGAGGTGAAGAAAACAGCGATGGAGGTGCTGTCAAGTATCACAAAAGATGAATTAAAACAATGTTTTTAAAAATTGAATAAAAGATAAAGCAAGTGTATTAGTGCAAGTGGAGAGCACTTTGAAGAAAATTGAAGGTTTGTACTTAAAATGTGAATAAATAAGTTAAAAAAATATTTTCAGTTTCTTTGGGTACCCCTATGTATATATTAAAGGCAAAATGTGCAATATAAATTTTAGTGATTGGAGAACACATGTGTAACTATCGTTGTTTTTTTAGAATGGATGGAGGTTAGCGTATATGCTATCAGGTTCAAAAGGTTAAATAATAACAGTTCAATAAATAAATATAGCTTGGCTTAAAATACCAGCTGTTAGGTATTTTTAAAATGATATGAAATATTCAGTAAAGATTGTTTATAAAAATTTTATTTTATTGTTTTTGTTTATACATGTATACTTTTGTAATCCTTTGTATTTTGTTTTTGCATGCATATTTAATCATACAACCAATAAAACAACTAAAATTCTCATAATTCTTTCCCCCCCCCCCTCGTTTTTTCAGTTTTCAGCTTTACTTGAAGATAATGCTGGGAGTACAGTTGATACACTTTCAGGAGAAGCACTGAGGAACCAAGATAAATCAGGTATTATGAAATAACTTTACAATGGAGATTATTATTATTATTGTAAGAAAATTTTCAGATATTAAAGTATGATTGTTTTTTCCTTTAGGAGCTAAACAGTTAGCTTGGGAGATTGAGAGAGATCGTTATGTTAGAGGAGCTAAATGGCAAAATAAAAAGAAATTTGGAAAAAAGAAGAAATTTAAAAAATAAAATTGTATGAGTGTAAAAATTTTATGTATATATTTTTTATATTAAAGAAATTATTCATGCAATTTTGTGTTTAAACTTTGTTGTGTAGAACTTCAGTTGCTCAGCTGTGCACTGTTATGCTTTTAAGAGGAGGTATACTTGTTTTTGACAAAATGGAACTTGTTTTAATTTCACTTTTTGATATATCTGAAACGTGCTACACTTCTATATGCATTATTACTTGCATCACAAAATGTATGTAAAAAATATCATTATTTAGTTTATGAGCATTTAATAAGTATTTCTATAAATTGATATTCCTTATAAATAAATCAGTTCATAAAGCCATTTTTACTTCGTGTACAAAGTAAAAAGGAAGTATTGTAAGTACAGAAAATTTTGGTATCGTATTTCAACGAAAATATCCATTTTGACCACTATCGAATGCAATTTAACAATGTTTTTGCATGACATCTGTACTAAGGACAGAATAAAGGACTCCTTTTCCCCCCAAAAATGGTAAAATTGGTTTAAAATGGCGGCTGAAGGCATTTTTTCGTGGCGTTTGTACATACATATGTATTTATCTCGCATAACTCAAAAATGAGTAGCCTCAGAAAGTTTAAAGTTTTTATATAGGACTGCTATAACATGTAGATGTGCAACTCATATTTTGGTTGCAATCCGCCACACCAAAAGTATATAGATATATGTAGTTTGCCTTTCTTATGCACTCTGTTACTCGGCTCAGTGAGCTCAGTTTCTTTATTCTTATATGTTTGTAAATTGTACATTTTTTGCTTTAAAAATGATTGAATTATATTGTTCTTATTTTCCAGTGAAGGTTTTTATACCTTTAGTTGTAGAATTATCAACAATTTAAAAGTTGTTTAGGTGCGGCTAAGCCTAATTTTTTACCGTGGCAGCCATATTTGTTTACAACTGAAACTTAGCAGATAGTGGATTTGTTGCTAACCTAAAGAAACTAAGCTTCGCAGCAACCAAGCTTAGTAGTCTCCTTTTATTATTATGAATTAAATTATGCTTAATCCATTCTGGAATTATCATTTAAGCTATTAAATTATCCCATATATTGGCTCAGTATAGCGTCCACACAAATTAAGTCAGTTTCTACGCCTTCAGTGTCTATTCGCTGAGTGAGGCTAAAGTAAACTTTCAGTTCCAAGCACCGAAAAATCTGTCTTCTTGCCTGCTTGTTTTTGCATAGAAACTGTAATTTTAATTGTTAACATTTTTTTACCTGTATTTGGTGTTTTATGTTTTTTTATATCTTTAAATTTTTAATGAAGATGTTTTAATTTTTTTCTGTATCTTTAAATTTTTAATGAAGATATTTTTTGCTTTTATTATTTTTGCCTTGCCACGAAGTGAGAACTAAATTAATTGAATGAGAAATACATCTCTAATGAAATTTGAGGAAATAAGTGTTTCATATTAGCAGAAAATACTGTTGCCAGTCTGTTTCAGACAGAGGAGAATGTTTACAAGTAGCGCATGCTCATTAAGTAAACAGCGCTGAATCGTCTGTGAAAAAATGTTTATTTTTTATTTGTTTAATTCCTTTTATACATCAATTTAGATTTACTATTGTATTTGAATAGCACATGTGGCAACGATTAGGTAACTCTTCAGATGGTATATATATATTTTTTTTTCATTCTGAGCCATAAAATGAATGAGATATAATGCTGTTAAGTGAACCTAGTGCCAGAATATCGCTATGGTAAATCAATATAGTGAATTTTAAAAAGTGCATTTATTCTATTGTGGTTTATGCATTGACGAAGTAGATTTAATTCAATTCAATAAGTTTAAATGAAATGCAGGGAAAAAATGTATAATTTAATATTCCGTACAAGGAAGTCGTGGTGTACACATCAGATTTTTTTAATTCAATTTCAATACCATTTGGCAGTGGATTGTCCCAATCAAGACCTTTTATACATATTTGTTTTCACTGGATTTTAATTCTGATCATGAATGGACATATAAATCCAACTAGATCATAAATTTCAGCTGTAACTTTTACCTACGTGTATGCGAGCCAGTTTCCCTTAGAAAATCTTCCACAAAGGCACCCTTCCCAATTATTTTTGTATATTCCTAACACATCTTTATATCTTTATCTAATCTCTCTCTCTCTCTCTCAAAATGATTGTTTGCAATTTGAAAATTTAGTTAATTCATCAGATTTCCAAAATAATTAAATTTGATACCTATCATTATTAAAGGATACAGTTTTCTCATATCATTTTACTGTTTCACAGACAATTTTTATGCTTTCCAGTTGCCAAATAAGTCCTCCGCATGTATGCCAATTGAGTCTAGTTTCCACACAATGCTCCAGTTTTCTCATATCAATTGACTGTCTATTTTTTCACAGACAATTTTTATGCTTTCCAGTTGCCAAATAAATCCTCCGCATGTATGGCAATTGAGTCTAGTTCCCAGACAATGTTCTAACTCATTGTCACACTCATCCTACTAGCAATATTTTGTGAATAAACTTTCTCTTTTCTAAATCATGAACCTCTAAAGACAGCTTTTTATTGTAACCAAATATTCTTTGATAGCTGTTTTTACCTCTGTGGTAAAGTTCAAAAATAAATTAGACTCTATAAGAATTTCACTGTTCAGATTATCTCCATAGTATAAGTCAGCAAGCCATAAATTATGTTTAACCATAAAATCAGATACTTGTGTACTGTGGGGGGGGATTATCGTGACAAATAATGTTTGGAATGACCAAGGTTTAGATTTTTGTGGATTATTGCACATTTCTTGCTTTGATTTCAAATTTGACAACTGAATATTTTTTCTCTAATACTTGTTGCATTCCAAAGGAGTAAATAGAAAGTATCTTAACAAATGGGTTCAAATTAAGAATATTCATCAAATGCTCAGTACATAAAGAATGTCAGCTACCATTGTCTAATAAAAGCCTTGTTTATACTGACATTATGTAACATTAAATTAAGTGTATGGTAGAGAATAAAAAATGCATACAAAGTTGAGTCATCTGAGTGTTAAATGCCATTACAGTACTTTTATACATCCTTTTCACAAAAGTATTTAAATTTTCAAGCTCTGCACTCAGATCAGTATTTCTTCATGATGGGGTTTGAATTTTCATTTGGATTTTTTCTCTGCATCAAAGATAGGATTTTCTGTCTGCTTTCTACTTCAATTTGTAGAATATTAATTATGTTTTAGACATTGCAATCTTCGCCCTGTTCACATGATGTTTAGAACAATATCTTGAGGTATTAATTTGATCAATATGGTATACAACAGAGATCTAAGTTTCTGAATTTACTTCTAGTGCATCTAAATTGTAAACTTCCATTTTACAAGTATTTATCTTTTAAGGTTTTTATTGCTGGCTTTGTAATTTTTGTTTTGTCACTTTAATTCCTTTAACTGCTTTCATGTCTATTCCAGTTAAATATGAGTGTAAGTAGTTAACATCTATGCTAGATAAGTCTTCGTTTCGATGAAAGAGAAATTTAAACTGGTCCCAGAAACTTTGGCAATCAGCAGAATAGCCATCAAATATTCTTAGGGTATTTTTTTTTTTATTATTTATTTTAACAGACTCACACATTTTTGTTATGTTCTTTGGATATCTGGTTTGCATTTATCAATAGATGCTTTTAATTTACATGAACAGTTAATCATTTTTTCATAATACTCATCACATTCAATAGTTTGGGTTTTGATTTCTTGTCCTCTCAGATTTTCATCACTGTAATATTCTTTGAATGGCGTGGAGTTCAACTTGGAGTCTGTCAACCAGCACTTCAATAGTTTCTTTACAAACAAATTGACTTTTTTTAAAAAAAGAAATTTTCCAGCAGCTAGAGAGATGGTAAAAAGCAGTAGATGTGCTTATGTGATATACAAAATAATGCTTTATGTGATTCAATGAAGTTTTCTTATGTTTTCGTACTTTTTCATTTATATTTATCATTAAAACATAAAGAACTTTCCAGATGGCTTAATATTTGGTGCTGGGCATCATATTGCATATTTTATTACCATTGAACTGATTTTTAATAATAGCTACTACAGCTATTATAGCAAAATTACCCAAGCTCATTTCTTTCATATCAGTAATTACTAAGTTTTATGACAAAAATATGCTCAAATTCTATTTTAGAATGCAATATCTAACCCTGATATTAAGTTTACTTTATTAATTAGTAATCTGCTATGAGACAAATATAAAATCAGAATACAGCATTTATTGAAATTGAGTAATTTAATTTTATTTCAATGATTAAAGAATACAAAACACCAATATTCTTGTTTAAACAAAATTGATGTGACATTTTTAATTTAAATCTTAATCTCATTTGTTGAACATCATTTCTTCAAAAGTGTTTACATATAAATATCTTGAAAACAATATGTATAGTTTCCTAAACCATACGTACTGAGACTGATGAGCTTTCATGGATTTCTAGGAAGGAAAATATCTATATATATTTATATATATATGCACAAATTAAATATTTTTAGAAATGTTGTACAATAATATGAATGGTATAAATTTAGGATTTAAAAGTCTAACCTGTGCAGTTCTAATGTCATTATACTTTGATACATAGTATATATTCTCACGAAGACAACACAAAGGCACTCCAAACAAGCCAATATATTTTTGTATCAAAGAAACAGATTTTAGTTGAAGAACTTCACAACCTAGAAATGAAAAAGTTTCATAATTAAAATATATTTTTAAAACAAAAAAGGCAGTATGAATAAATATTCAACATTTCAAAATGAACTTATTTAAAAATTTGTTCTGTAGTGGTTTAAAATAAATTTTATAGATGTAATTAATTTACAGCACAGTTATATAGAAAAACGAAACAATATTTATAAAGTATAAAAAAAGTTGACATCCTTTCACATTTGTTAATATACAGGGTGACAATTATTGAACTATATGAACTAAAACTGTCATAACTTCTGAAAGACTTGTGTGATAAAGCTCAAACTTTGTGGTTGGCCACAGGGCACGATAGGAACTAGTATGGGCATGCGCACGCAACTTGTTATTGATGGCCATTTTCAAGTGAAAATGTCACGGTACTGCGTGCTTGAGCGTATAGCGCTTGTAAAGGCCTATTATGCGAGCAATAACAGCCCGTTTGTGACTGAGTACAAGCTGAAGACAACCAGTCTAAGTACGGTAACAATCAAGAATTTTATTTGCAAGTTTGAGAGAACACATAGTGTTTGTGACAACAGTGTTTGCAATGTCAGTCAACAAACAAGTGTGAAAAAGCCTGAAAACATCGAGAAGATGCACTGTGTTTCAAACCAGCCCAAGGAAATCGATCAGATGAGCTGCAGAACAGGTGGGAATCAACCGGGAGACCCTGCAACAAATTGTTGAAGACCTGCATCTCTTCCCATAAAAATTCAAAACTATCAGCCATTAAGGCCCATGGCCATGGGACAGCGGTTGTGTTTTGCCAACACTATTGTTGAGAGAATTGACAAACAGGAATTTGATGTGAATATGGTTTGGTTTAGCGTTGAAGCCCACTTTCATTTAGATGGGTTTTTTTCAATAAGCAAAATTAACATATTTGGGGGTCTGAGAATCCACATTTCGCGATTGAGAAGTCTCTCCACCCTCAACGGGTGACTGTGTGGTGTGTGTGATGTCCAATAATCGGTGCAATATTCACGGTGACTACTAAACAATACGTGAAGGTTTTGGAAAATTATTTCATTCCCATTATCCAAAGTGTCCCTGATTTCAACAAGACGTGGTTCATGCAAAACGAAGCTCGACCCTCAGAGCAAGAGAGTGTTTGATGTCCTGGAAGATTGAGGACTGCATTCTAGCTCTGGGGTAACCAGAGTCCACTGGAATGGGACTCGCTTGGCCACCATATTCTCCAGATCTGAACATGTGTGACTTATTTTTGTGGAGCTATATTAAAGACAATGTATATAGAAATAACCCAAAATTCACTGCTGAGCTGAACTGCCATTCAGGAGGTCATCGACAGCATTGATACTCAACACTTCAGCGGGTCATGCGAAATTTTGCTATTTGTCTGCAGCACATCATAGGCATATTGAACATGTCATAACCTAAATCCAAATATCTGTAGTTACGTTTGCATATTAATTAAAGTTTGTGCACTCAGTAGTTTTTAAATAATTTGTGTTTTATTTCATATAGTTCAATAATTGTCAGGCTGATGCTATGTGTTCATAGAGATCTCTTTAATAACTTTACCAAATGAAAAGGAAGAAATTGAGATAAACAATGATTCCTACAGCAAGATAGGAATTAGAAATGGTCGATCTGTTCCATTCAAAGAACCAATTCACTTTACTGAACGAATGATCAGCGCTTCGGCAAAAACAGAATGGCAGTTCTTTATTAACAGTTCACCGAGAGCTGTTAGGAAGCATGTAAAAAATTTGATTCCTTTCAATGTAAACCAGCAGTCTTTCCTTTATTATTTACCAAAAATGTTTCTGACCTATTTTTGATGCGAGTATGTGTGTTATGTATGTATATATGTGTGCTTTTGGCTTGCTTGTGTTCCATCTAATATTTAAAAAACAAAGCATTAAATAAACCGAATAATGTATGTATGTATATATGTGTGCTTTTGGCTTGCTTGTGTTCCATCTAGTATTTAAAAAACAAAACATTAAATAAACCGATGCCCCTATTTGCAAATGGATGGAATCCCCCCCCCCATCAGGCAGTGTGAGAAACTGTTTAAATAACATAGATTATAGTAACTAGTTCATTGGATTCCCAGCCATCTTGTGCTCCGACACTAGCGGCAGATCTGGGTCTTCTGAAGTTGTGACATTTTGCACATTTCATTACTCCTGCTCTAGCTGCAGATCTGATTACAAACGCTCTTTTAAATCTGGCTCCTACGGAATCTTGATCATTTGGTCTTTCGCTTCCTCAGACCTGTTCCTTTGAGTCATTTAGATTCTTTTGTACTGTAATGTAAAATAATAAATTATATTTTTGTTTATTTACTTATTTTACTAACCTCTTATAAGCAAGAGCTGTGAATTTCTCTTTAATCTTCTTTAGAATTAGTATACATTTATAAATATAAATTTTTCCATCTAAGTATTGTTTCAAGGGTGAAGAACAAAATGGGAATCATACCGAATAGAAAAACCTCAAGCTACGATTGGTATCATTTTGTCAAATTGGATAAAAAAAGAAAATGTCCATATTATCAGCAGACAATTTTCTATTATTTAGGATCTGCCTCCAATCTAAAAATTTATTTTTACGTTGTGTTTTGATTATAACAAAATATAAATTATAGTAATAAAATAATGTAATCTTTAATAAAAGTGAGTTTAGTTTTCATTATTTTTTAATTTTTAGCATTTTCTTATTTCCAGAATTTGATTGTTTTTCTATGTAGAAAGGTTTCTTTAGAGGATCTCAAAAGTACAGTTGAAAGAAATCAATCTAGGGAGTGAGCAGTTCGGTTGAGTCGATTCCAGTAATACCACTCCTAGTTCAGTTCTTTCTGTTTTTCTCCCATCTCTGCATACTGCTCTTACTCCATGCCTGTTCCGAATGCATTCATCAGGGTGAATTATTGAGCTCATTAGTGGCTCATCATTAGTGAGCAGTGAATCATTAAAAAGAACTTATTCATTTCAATGAGTGGATGGTTCTGATCTGATCCCTTAAAGGAGCGGTTTTGCCCATCTCTAATAGGAATGGGAGTGATGAAATTCATCATTGGATAACAGAAGTTATGGAGAACATTACCTATCACTTCCAAGGGAAAAGGAGTGAAGCGTTTTAGAGAAGGATGGCCAGCTTTAGAAGATGACAAACGATTTAATGCATAACAAATGCCATTATTGTGAAAGTAAATCAGTCTATAAGCAAGGTCAACATATAAAACAGAAAATTTGATAAAGAATCATAACATAAGAGAAAGTTTATTAATAGTTCGAAAACTAACCTACAGAAACACTTGATGTCCTGTAGAACTTCTAACTTTTTTTTTTTTTTTTTTTTAATGAATGCTCATTACATAAAACATTTCTGTTCTTTTCTGGCATATTGACTACTCATGCTTCTGAGAACATGAAAGCCAAGTTCCCTTATTAATGAAGCCTAATAACAGCTGTGAATAAATAGTAGCTTTTTAACAATGATGATGTCATTACAGTGGGAAAAAGTGTTTATATGGAAGTTTTCTGTAAATATTCTGTACCTAGTTTGAAAGAGTAAATTTAACCAGTGTTGAAAATCAGTTCTTTGAAATTTTCATTTAAATGACAAAGCAACATAAATGGCTCCTTGAACTGGGGGATAGATGTTTCTACCCTCTTGGGATCACATGAAATGGGAATTTGAAATTTCTTTTGAATGCACTACAAACAAAAATGTAAATACAAGGCTTAGTCTGAAAGTTTTGAGATACACATGGGTTTTTAAAGTTATACTTATGAAATTTAAAGTGTTCAAAGTAGTCTTCTGTATCAATGCACTTCTGTAGGTAAATTTTCCTACAGAACTTTTCTTCTGTAGGTAAGATTAAATGCCTCAAGCCATTCATTTCTTGGAAATCGATGAAAACTGCATGTATAGCCTCATCAATCACATCTTCGGAATGAAAAGGACATCCACGTTTGTTCCTTTTTAGATTAAAAACAGCCAAAAAGTCATACACAGCTAGATCAGGTGAATAAGGTGAATGACCTGTTACTTTGATGTGTTCAAGAAACTCATCTGTTAGTCTTATTGAATCTTGCTGAATATCCAACATTCACTTCTTACAGAATGTTTGGAAGGACTTAGTGGTATACCAGTTAGCTATGACTCTCTTCTGTCCTTTCACCTTGATAGCTTTGGCCAGTCTTGCACTTCTGAAGAAAATGGCATATATTACTTTTTTTAATGGCACGTTGTCTTTTCACCATTGTGGGCATGGGATCATCTTCAAAGTTCAATACTTTACTTTCTTGATATGTTGGAATGTCAAAAAATGGTACGTACATTTCGTCACCAGTTACGATTTTAGAAATAATGTGGTGGCCACCATCTTTATGTAATTTAAGGGTTTCTTTACTGATTCTGACCCACTCTTCTTTTTGGTGCTCAGTTAAATTATGGGGAACCCAATGACAAACTAGTTTTTTCATATGCAGTTTTACATGATAAGTGGCAGTGGGTCCAATGATAAGGTCCTTCTGTATCATTTGGTGAGTGCTGCGATTATCATCGATTCACATTTTCCATATGGCAGGGGCATTATCCGGGATTACTGCTAACAATGGCCTTCCAGTGTGTTCTTCATCCTGAAAGAGAGTTGCAACCTTTGTGAAATTCTGTAAACTACTCTGAATAGAGTAGAATGAGATGGAACTTCATTTCCTAATGCTAACTATTGAACGCATTCTTTTTGAGTTAATTGTACTCTAAAATCATAGCACAGTTCGATAATGTTCTCATGTCAACTCCATTTTCCCTTCTGCTTAAAATTTATTCTGTGCTAAACTACTTGCAGTTGGCCAATAAAAATCATCTGCTAGACCAAAATAGTTCATATTTTCAAATCTAACCATTAATTTTGTTTTCCTGTCACTTACATCTGCATGTATCTCGAAAATTTCAGAGTGACTTCCGTATAATGAAAGCTATTAAAATTATACAAATACTTTTAAAATAT